AACTATTCATCATTTTAATGTATTTCTTTTATTTTATACCAACCATAAAATGTAAATGAATCGCAATTAATATTTTCAGATGTGAAAGTTATTGTATCCATCCAAGTTATATCTTGATCTAATAGTTAATATTAAGTATTTTATATGCAATAACATTCTGAGTTACTTTAAAAATCATTTATTGCTTAATTGATATAATCTAAGTCTGGAGATGATGTGTAAGTAAGGTTTAAATCTTAAACATATAAAAGAATTGTCCCTGGAAAATACGAATATCTTGATCCAATTATCGAATCAATAAATGAATTTTGTACTAAAAGGCTACTTCCAAAATTTACAAATATATTTTTTCCTTTAAATGGATTAATATGCAATACTTCATGAAGCAATTATTGATCTTATGCTATTATTATTAATTCAAGTTTATTGATGAAAGGCCAATAAAGTAATTAGAATAAATACCAAAAATTTTCATACTTAAATGGGTCAATTTTTAGTTTATAATTAAATTGTAATCCATCAGAAGCAACAAAGGATAGAAATTTATGAATGGTCATACTTTAGGGGTAAAGGCAATCATAATATATTAGGTTTAAACTCTCAGAATTTGATTCAATAATATTTTGATAATGAAAACAATCGCTATCAAATAATCCAACAGGTCCTACTTAAGATATTATACTTAATGGATTGTATTTAGACCATATACCATATCCAATTAACTCATCGATTAAGTATACATCTTTGATTTCAATAAAGTATTATTCAATTTAAAAAAGAGGATCCAGTTGCATTATAAATTAAGGATAGGTAATATCCAACAATAGTAGCAAATTCGAAATAAAAAGGTTGATCATAACAAAAATATTAATTATTAAATGTTTATATAGTATATTGTTTTAATATAAATAGCATTAAATTGTTGATAATTATTTTATAACTTTTAATCATATTCTCTGATTTTTAATCACAATAGTAAATTGCATTGATTCTAGGCTCTTGATATTTATTTTTCGTTATATTTCTCAAGTCATTTTATTATGGATTATTTTTGATCTACAACCTTTATCAATCCAAAAAATGCTTAAAATATTAAGAAAGTTATGAATTAAAAATAAATACTCATCAATTTTTATTAAAAATAGGTCTTATATACCTTGCCTATAATGTAGGTACATGATAAAAATTTAATTAAATTTGTAATCACTTTGGAATTAAGATAGTCATTTAATCTCTAAACTTATCTGAGATGGAAATAAATTTAATTATTTGAGATTTGTATTTCTGAAATTTCTAGTTTTTTTTAATAAATATATTTATACGCTATTAAATCTATTATATTTGGATCATCTAAAATGTTTACAAATAAATTCATATATCATGATTTCTTTTCTTTTTTATCAATCTTTCCAACCCTTGCCTTTCTGATTCTTAGACCTTTAATTTCTTTCAAAGCAAGGATCATTTGTAATTCAGACTTTACTTCATTTTATTAAAACAAAATATGATTTTTTTTTAATTTCTAGTTTTACTTATCTGAAAAAATTTGAAATTACATTCAAAATTCGAATAATATAGAAATTAACTAATTATTTTTAATGGAATAGATTTTTTTATTTTAAGCCAATATTTATTTATTGGACTTAAACATGCATATTTGCATTTTCTAGTAATAATCATGTCTTTATTGAATGTTTTAATTTAATTTTTTATTTGAAAAAATAAATTAAAGCGATCATTAAGCCACTCATCATAAGAATTATTTTCTAAAAAAATTAAGTTACAATTCAAATGATGATGATTATAAAATTTGATGATTAATTTATATTATACAGTCTCATTTATGTGGAATTAATTTAAAATGACCTCCTCCTGAAAAATGCTTAAACTAGTATCATTGAAATTTTCTGGCATTATTTACTAAGGTAGCATTGTCAAAATATTATCTAATTGAAGCTAATTAGATAAAAATAGGTAAATTTATTGTAATTACAAGAGATATATCGTTAAGAAAAAAATTAACCTATGAATGATTCTTGAAAAGCTGCAGGACAAAAAATGGGGAGCAAATGTTCTTCATAAATTGAAACAAAAAAAAAATAATGAAGAATATTAACAATTTAGCTTGGCAAGATATATGATCTGAAGGATAATCAAAATTTATTGTAAACGCTTTGAATCAATTATATACCTTTATTAAAAGAAAGAAAAATCTGAAATTTTAAAGAAAATTTAGCATACTAGTATAGAAATTTCTGGACTACAAGTAAATCAACTATGTATTTTATCGTTAAAAAGCTCAAAACATAGTTAAATATTATAATTAGAAGACTGATATAATTTAAAAACCATCTTTGTAATGTTCTGATGAGTGTAATATATATATTGACAGCCAATTTGGTGATCAACTATTTATTANAAATTGTAATCCATCAGAAGCAACAAAGGATAGAAATTTATGAATGGTCATACTTTAGGGGTAAAGGCAATCATAATATATTAGGTTTAAACTCTCAGAATTTGATTCAATAATATTTTGATAATGAAAACAATCGCTATCAAATAATCCAACAGGTCCTACTTAAGATATTATACTTAATGGATTGTATTTAGACCATATACCATATCCAATTAACTCATCGATTAAGTATACATCTTTGATTTCAATAAAGTATTATTCAATTTAAAAAAGAGGATCCAGTTGCATTATAAATTAAGGATAGGTAATATCCAACAATAGTAGCAAATTCGAAATAAAAAGGTTGATCATAACAAAAATATTAATTATTAAATGTTTATATAGTATATTGTTTTAATATAAATAGCATTAAATTGTTGATAATTATTTTATAACTTTTAATCATATTCTCTGATTTTTAATCACAATAGTAAATTGCATTGATTCTAGGCTCTTGATATTTATTTTTCGTTATATTTCTCAAGTCATTTTATTATGGATTATTTTTGATCTACAACCTTTATCAATCCAAAAAATGCTTAAAATATTAAGAAAGTTATGAATTAAAAATAAATACTCATCAATTTTTATTAAAAATAGGTCTTATATACCTTGCCTATAATGTAGGTACATGATAAAAATTTAATTAAATTTGTAATCACTTTGGAATTAAGATAGTCATTTAATCTCTAAACTTATCTGAGATGGAAATAAATTTAATTATTTGAGATTTGTATTTCTGAAATTTCTAGTTTTTTTTAATAAATATATTTATACGCTATTAAATCTATTATATTTGGATCATCTAAAATGTTTACAAATAAATTCATATATCATGATTTCTTTTCTTTTTTATCAATCTTTCCAACCCTTGCCTTTCTGATTCTTAGACCTTTAATTTCTTTCAAAGCAAGGATCATTTGTAATTCAGACTTTACTTCATTTTATTAAAACAAAATATGATTTTTTTTTAATTTCTAGTTTTACTTATCTGAAAAAATTTGAAATTACATTCAAAATTCGAATAATATAGAAATTAACTAATTATTTTTAATGGAATAGATTTTTTTATTTTAAGCCAATATTTATTTATTGGACTTAAACATGCATATTTGCATTTTCTAGTAATAATCATGTCTTTATTGAATGTTTTAATTTAATTTTTTATTTGAAAAAATAAATTAAAGCGATCATTAAGCCACTCATCATAAGAATTATTTTCTAAAAAAATTAAGTTACAATTCAAATGATGATGATTATAAAATTTGATGATTAATTTATATTATACAGTCTCATTTATGTGGAATTAATTTAAAATGACCTCCTCCTGAAAAATGCTTAAACTAGTATCATTGAAATTTTCTGGCATTATTTACTAAGGTAGCATTGTCAAAATATTATCTAATTGAAGCTAATTAGATAAAAATAGGTAAATTTATTGTAATTACAAGAGATATATCGTTAAGAAAAAAATTAACCTATGAATGATTCTTGAAAAGCTGCAGGACAAAAAATGGGTAGCAAATGTTCTTCATAAATTGAAACAAAAAAAAAATAATGAAGAATATTAACAATTTAGCTTGGCAAGATATATGATCTGAAGGATAATCAAAATTTATTGTAAACGCTTTGAATCAATTATATACCTTTATTAAAAGAAAGAAAAATCTGAAATTTTAAAGAAAATTTAGCATACTAGTATAGAAATTTCTGGACTACAAGTAAATCAACTATGTATTTTATCGTTAAAAAGCTCAAAACATAGTTAAATATTATAATTAGAAGACTGATATAATTTAAAAACCATCTTTGTAATGTTCTGATGAGTGTAATATATATATTGACAGCCAATTTGGTGATCAACTATTTAAAATCATAATTAAAATATCTACTTTTTCAAAAAAACAGTTTCCAATTATTCAATTTAGATGTGAAATAAATTAGAGAACTTTTAATTACTTTTGATTTTCAATTTATGTATTTAAAATAGTTAGCAAATTTAGTTTTAAAATGACATTTTTAATCCCTATAATTACTGTATTTTCAAGATCGTTTTAAGCAAAGAAAATAATTGATTAATAACACAGCTTTGTTATTCATAATATATGGAATGCAGGCTGTGGTAAAGTTACAATAATTTTGAGAACACTTTTAAATCTTTGAAATTTCTCTCACTTAATATTTTTATCTATTTCTTAACACAACCTTCTTCTTTCTAAGGTTATACAAAGTTCACTTCCAACCTCCATTAAAATATTTAAATGAAGTTAAAATAAGTAGAATGATAGAAAGAATTGGATTTCTATTTTATAATTTTAGAATTATCAAAATATTGAACTTTTAAAGCTTAAAGTAAAAATAGCATATCTTTTTCTTGATTTAACTTTATAAAAACAGGAATCTATGAAATTTTTAACATTTAATGTTGCATATAAGATAATAATAAAGTTAAATATTATTATCTAATAATTTTTAAATTTTATATTAAAACATTTAAACTGATATGTGAAAAATATTAATATTCTCAAAATATTCATTTAACTCATTATTCAATTGTTAAAAGGAATTGATTTGTAGCTGAGTCATATTTTTTATATCTATTTAATGAGGGAAGATTTTAATTTACTATTGCTTAATAATTGCATCTAAATTATAAAATTTTATTTACTTTTATCGTTTTATTTATTCTTATGAGGCCATTTTTAAAATTTAATAATTGGATTTTAATCTAATCTCTTTTAGTTTCAATTATGTAATTACATTATTGATAGATTCTGCTTTCATACAATTTGGCTTTATATTTCTGATAATTTTATAAATCAAAGTAAACATTTATACCTTATATTTTTTAGCATATCCTTTAAATATATCAAAAATAAATAAAGAGCAGAGTTTAATAAATAGAATTAAAATAACAATTTACAAAATTTAAGCGGATGTATTTTCTCCTTCCTATTCATTTACATATTTGGCAGTTGCAATAAATATAGCAATAGAACAAATTTAACCTGTTTAGAGATCCAGGTTATTTAAACTTGATATTATGTATGGTTACTGTTTTCCTGCCAATAATTAATAAACTAATAAACATAACCCCAATAAAGATGCTTTAAATAATATATTAGATTCAAAAAATGTTAAAACAAGAATGATACTTGTCTTTTTTAAAAATTTGATTTATTCCCAAAAGAAACTTTCTTGATTGTATTCATTAAACAAATAACAAATATGCCTTCTAACTTTTATAATCGCTAGTTTGCCTTATTTGTTAAGGAGAAGAAAAAAAAAAAATAAAGGAATTAATAATCCAAATATTGTTAATCCAGGTATAGCAAATACATACATCCATTAAAAATGATTTTAAGTGCCATAAATTAATGAAACATCTCCTTATACATATTAAATATTTGATATTATTCTTTTTGACACAATTGAACAAAATCTAATTATAAAATATTTTATACTATTTGATTAAACTAGAGTAATTAGAAACATAGAGGTATAATAATGTATTTGAAATAATGCTTCTTTAGAATCTACCTTTTGTCAAAAGTGTATATAAGTTGTATCCAAGCTAAATTATTATAAATTAAATAAGAATTAATATAAAAGTAGCAATTATCCTGAGATAGATAAGTTCATTTTCAAAAGTATTCGATATAAAACAATCAAGATTAAATGCCATAAATTATGAAGCATTACTAGTTGATTCAATCAAGGAAAGAGATATCGAAAAATTAATATTAAATGTAAAAATGACTGAGAATATCCATAAATAATTGATAACCATCTTAATGAAAATACTTTCCATATCTAAATTTTAAATTTATAATAGTACCTTAGCCCAATTTAAATAAAATTTTGGCAATATTTGGCTTAAAATTAAGTTTACATGAAAAAAATAATTAATTTGATTTTTCAATACTTCTTAATGTTATCAATATAGTAATAATAGCCCTTGAATAATATATATTTATACCAAAGGGAAGTCAAAATGAAGGGTGTAATTGTATTAATTGAGCAACCAAAACATTCAGCATCTGATTAATTTTTAAAAAATTATCCTTCACCTCTTATATTATGAGTATCACATTCTTCACACAATCCTCCAATACGTCCTATACTACAAAGTTCATTTCCAACCATCCAACCCCCTTTACAAAATTTTACATTCTTGAAACAAAACTCTGTATAATCTGAATATAAATTGGGTCTCCAAAAACCTTCAAATAATTAAATAGAATTTGAAGTAATATTTGCAAACTTAATTTTATCAAATATGGAACACTTTGTAGCATTATAAGTTACTGAATAAAATCCATATATTGATTCACAAATTTAACATCCTTCATCAGCATAGAATTCTCCTAATTAACATTTATAAGTTCTTGCTTTGATTAAATAATATAAATATTCTGTTGATTCTAATGATGAGCAACTTATTAATATCTATATATATTCATTTTTTTCTTGAAAGGGATTAAAATGAAACGAAATAGATCCTAAATCAAAAGTGTAAGAATTATAATCTGCTTGAAGAGTTGCAATTATTTAAGATTCATCTAATTAGAAGTCCTAATTAAATTCTAAATTAATTTATGAGACTTGGCAAAATAATAATTGTGAATTAGTCAATAATTCATTTCTACTATTTCTTAATGATATTTGAAATTCATCGAAAATATTCAAACTTACTTGTTGTGATGGAATGAAAATTTTATAATCTTTGATTACTTATTCACTTGGAATCATCAAATATGAACTAGTTTTACAAACCCCTTATTCTATTATTTTATAAGGTTTTAGCAACAGACTTCTTAATGTAATATTACTAATTTAAATTTCCTCTGATTACATTTCTTAAGAATTTATAATCAAACTTAAATGGGCTGGAAATTCAAAGAAGTTTCTTGATTCTGTGTTAGCATTGTTGAATTAAATGAGGGATTAAATAAAATTCTCTTAATTGATGTGAGATTAACCTTAAAAATAAATTCCTCCTCCTTTGTCTGCAAAATTATTTATAATTATTGATTCTTTTATCAAAAAAGGTATGTTATTTATTTCTAAAAATAAACCGCCTCCTAACGCGCCTATGTTTTATATGATTTTACATTTAGCAATACTTATGGCTATGCCACTTGAATATATAGCTATACCATTAGTGCCGTTATTAAGAAAGAAGTTAGAATTAGATATTGATATAGTTTAGTTTTATGAATAATTTGTTACAATATTTATGCATCCATTAATTTAAACCATATTTTAATTACATATTAGATCTCTAATTATTATTTAACTTTAATTTTCCATTTNGGTGTAATTGTATTAATTGAGCAACCAAAACATTCAGCATCTGATTAATTTTTAAAAAATTATCCTTCACCTCTTATATTATGAGTATCACATTCTTCACACAATCCTCCAATACGTCCTATACTACAAAGTTCATTTCCAACCATCCAACCCCCTTTACAAAATTTTACATTCTTGAAACAAAACTCTGTATAATCTGAATATAAATTGGGTCTCCAAAAACCTTCAAATAATTAAATAGAATTTGAAGTAATATTTGCAAACTTAATTTTATCAAATATGGAACACTTTGTAGCATTATAAGTTACTGAATAAAATCCAAATATTGATTCACAAATTTAACATCCTTCATCAGCATAGAATTCTCCTAATTAACATTTATAAGTTCTTGCTTTGATTAAATAATATAAATATTCTGTTCTATCTTATTCTGTGCAACTTATTAATATCTATATATATTCATTTTCGTCTTGATAGGGATTAAAATGAAATTAAATAGATCCTAAATCATAAGTATATGAATTTTCTTGTAAATAAAGAGTTGCAATGAATTAAGACTCATTTAATTGTAAGTCTTAATTAAATTCTAAATTAAGTTGTGAGGCTTGGCATAATATTTGATATGTCATTAACACTTATTCATTTCTACTATTTTTTACTTCGATTTGAAGATCATTGAAAATATTAAAACTTATTTATTATGAAGGAATGAATATTTCATAATCTTTAATTACTTGCTAACTTGGAATCATCAAATATTAACTTATTTTACTAACTCCTTGCTCTATTGTGTTATAAGGTTTTACCAATAGACTTCTTAATGTAATATTATTAATTTTAATTTCTTCTGATTACATTTCCATAGAATTGATTAATAAGCTCAAATGGGTTGGAAATTCAACTAATTACTACTCTTAATCTATATTATTGTATTAAAAGAAGGATTAAATAAAATTCTCTTCATTGATGTTTAATTTACCCTATAAGTAAATTCCTGCTCCAAAGTTTGCAAAATTATTTGTAATTATTGATTCTTTTATCAAAAAAGTTCTTTAATTCATTTTAAACAATAAACCACCACCTATATTACCAACGTTTTACATAATTTTACACTTGTTAATCATTATGGATATGTTACCTGAATAAATAGCTACACCCTCAGAACCATAATTATAAAAGAAGTTAGAATTCCATATTTATATATATTAATCCTTTTCATCATTTGCTTGAATATTTATGCATCCATATGATTAAATAGTATTTAAATTACACATTAGATCTCTTATTATAATAGTACTATAATTTTCCATTTTCAAAGAAAATAGTCCATTTATACACGAGTAACAATAATTTTCTTGAAATATGATACTTTAAAGATATAAAACAGTATGGTTTGAATTAGTTTGAATTTCTATTATTGAGCTCAATTGCCAAATTTACATAAGATTAATGATATCGTAAAAATAATAAATCTAAGGATTCTATTAAATATTTTCAACTTAACCGCATCCTGAAATCATATAATTCATTTTAGGATTGTAGAAGATTGAATCATAATAAACTTCATAAACTGAAAAATGTTAAATATATACGAATTCAAAATAAATAGTTTACTTTATAGGTAATTCTAGTTTTATTTCTAATAGACTGAATTCATAGAATGTTTGAATTTCAATTGCCTAAAAATAAGAGATAAATAATTGTTAAACATTAATCAATTTAATTAAAGGGAAGGCATAAAGGCCTTAAATTAGAATATTTTAGATGACAACTTTACAATTTGATAATTATATCAAAGCATTAGATGTTCCAGTTATATCTTAAATTTCAGATTAACTTATCATTCCAGTCTTATCAAAATACTTAATCCAAATATCTTCATATTATGATATTTTGATATTTCTAATAATTACTTTATTTATATTTATATCATATGATGAAAATAATAAATTGATAATTGGATTCTATAATGATATTGTATTAATAATTTAAATATCTTCAATTCTTACTTAATTCCTTTATTATGAAGGAATTATTGTAAAAATTGAAGGAGCCATTCGATTGAATATATTTTAAAATACTGCATTATAGATTTATAAATTAAGTAAACTATTAGAAGAATAAATAGTAATACAACCTGTACTATCAACTATTTAAGATAAATCATATTCTAATGATTTTATTGTTAAATTTATGAATGAAATATTTCCATCTCCTTAAGTCTTTATTTCAAATACAGAACTTTTATATCCTATTATATCTTCAAATGAGCAATTAAAACAGGAAAAACTTGATGCTGATATTAAACCACCTCCACCTTTACTTTTGATTTTAAAAGTTTATTAAATGATTAAATTGATTTAATCCTAATCAAATTCATCTATATCAATGGAAAAATCATAATAAGACATCCATAATTCAAAAGGTATTACATTATGTTTTGAAATACTATAATTTGTTAATTGTATTCTTTCAGATTTCAAAGATATAAATGAATTTGAAGAATTAGTTAGTGCATTAGACTAACAAATAAAATTATTAATTTCAATTAATCCTGCAATAGATATTATCTAAATTAAACTTGTTGAAGATTCAGATGGATCCAAAATATACAGATGTAAGAAATTTCTTAAAAATACAACATTTTCCAATTTTATGTGAGATAAATTTTCAGAATATATAGTAATAAGAGATGAAATACTGGATTATAACTATTGCAACAACAAGTTTCCTATAAACTGCAAATCTATTAATTACAGAATATTGTTTTAATTTGTTAAACTATTTCTGTTTGAGGATATCTCAATTAATGAATTATCGGTACTGAATTATTAAATTACTATAAGTTTTTAAATGATAATAATATTGAATCCATTAATTAAAAAGAGTTAATTTTGAATATAAGTGTATTCTGAACAATTTAAACTAAAACTTACTTTATAATCGATTTCAAGATTTTCGTAAACTATATTTGATGCATAAAATTTTTAGATTTCAAAAAGATAGAATATACGTAAGTTATTTGAATTAATAATCTAAATGTTCTCAATATCAAGTTGGAAGCAATGAATATTAAATAAGTTGATTTATTGTTATTAATTAATTCCTCTTTAATTTTATGAAATTGTAAAGGATCTTAATTAAACATATATATTCTTATTTGATAATGTTGATTCTATATTTAATAAATTAGAGTTTGTAAGATCATTTTCATAAACTAAATAATTTTCAATTAAACAAACAAGTTTATTTTGAACATCAATCTAAATAGCAGCCATAAAATAAGAATTAATAAAAGTATTTTAATTTATTTCAGTCTTTAGCAAAGTTGTATTTGAATTAAATTTTATAATAGTTGACATTTCAATCAAATTTTATTAAAAATTAAAGTTAATTATCCAAATTTGGAAATTATAAGTGCTATTCAAAAAATATGATTAATAAAGGTTATTATATGTGAAATTTATTGTATTGATTTCAAATTCACCAATATAAATTAAATTATTTAAAAATGTAATGAATGACGAATTTACAAATTAACATGAATCAATCACTAATTAATCAATTTAAATCTTAATTTTATTGTTAAAAATTTATAAGAATTAAGTATTTGTAAAGTTGCATTATTTCAAAGTCATTTTCTCAATTTTGATTATTCCTTATTACTATTTTTACTAAAAATTGAATAATGAAGAATTTTTCAGATTTGTATCAATTATTAATATATTTTTCAAAGTTATATCTCCAAATATATCTGAATCTAAAATAGGATTAACATTTGAAATTGAACTCTATTATATTACAATGTTATTTAATAATAAATTTACTTATTAATTTTTATTTTCAAATTAAAAATGATCTTAATTTTTAAATTAGAAATGTGCATCATTAATTTCTATAAAATCAAAACCTGATACAATAAAAGTTTTAAAATTATTTTCATAAAGATTCAATCTGAGTTTCAGAAATCTTAAACTAAAAATTTCTGATTTCAATTAAGATGTTTACATAAAATCTTTATAAGACTCATCATCTTTCTTTTGATCAATTTTAATAGATAAAATATTGAGCCCAATTTAGTTACTATACTATATATTAACTTTTGAATCAATATCAATATAATTATCTTAGCTAGATAGTTCTAAATTAAATTCTTAAATGCAATTTATAGTATAACAATATTTAGCAATAAAAAAGTATGGATCGATAATCACATTTGGATATGAAACTTTTCGGATACATTTATTTGTATATTTTCTGTTTATTCCATTCATCTTAAAGTTTGGATTTAGTTTCTAAAAATAATTAACTTATCTTACATAAATTTCTGTTTCGGATCTTCTTTCACAAACATCACACAATTCAGGACATTCTATACATTAGCCATCTATTTCACTACGAATTGGTTATTAGTAGTAATTTTATGGACATTAAATACAATTAAAAATGTCAGAATTTATAGATAAATCGCATTTCAAACAATCAGAAGTACAATACTTTATACAATCTTATTAATCATTTTATTTGTATCCTTCTTTACATTCAACTTAAAATTATATAACATTCTAATCATTATACGGCCTTTAATAAAAATATTAGTTTGGTAAAAATGTCATCATAAAACTTTATACTCTTTAAACCCAACCATCAACTATTTCTTTATCTCCCTCTATCACTATTTTTGCATCTTCAAATTAATTTGGATAACAACTTCCNGTTGGAAGCAATGAATATTAAATAAGTTGATTTATTGTTATTAATTAATTCCTCTTTAATTTTATGAAATTGTAAAGGATCTTAATTAAACATATATATTCTTATTTGATAATGTTGATTCTATATTTAATAAATTAGAGTTTGTAAGATCATTTTCATAAACTAAATAATTTTCAATTAAACAAACAAGTTTATTTTGAACATCAATCTAAATAGCAGCCATAAAATAAGAATTAATAAAAGTATTTTAATTTATTTCAGTCTTTAGCAAAGTTGTATTTGAATTAAATTTTATAATAGTTGACATTTCAATCAAATTTTATTAAAAATTAAAGTTAATTATCCAAATTTGGAAATTATAAGTGCTATTCAAAAAATATGATTAATAAAGGTTATTATATGTGAAATTTATTGTATTGATTTCAAATTCACCAATATAAATTAAATTATTTAAAAATGTAATGAATGACGAATTTACAAATTAACATGAATCAATCACTAATTAATCAATTTAAATCTTAATTTTATTGTTAAAAATTTATAAGAATTAAGTATTTGTAAAGTTGCATTATTTCAAAGTCATTTTCTCAATTTTGATTATTCCTTATTACTATTTTTACTAAAAATTGAATAATGAAGAATTTTTCAGATTTGTATCAATTATTAATATATTTTTCAAAGTTATATCTCCAAATATATCTGAATCTAAAATAGGATTAACATTTGAAATTGAACTCTATTATATTACAATGTTATTTAATAATAAATTTACTTATTAATTTTTATTTTCAAATTAAAAATGATCTTAATTTTTAAATTAGAAATGTGCATCATTAATTTCTATAAAATCAAAACCTGATACAATAAAAGTTTTCAAATTATTTTCATAAAGATTCAATCTGAGTTTCAGAAATCTTAAACTAAAAATTTCTGATTTCAATTAAGATGTTTACATAAAATCTTTATAAGACTCATCATCTTTCTTTTGATCAATTTTAATAGATAAAATATTGAGCCCAATTTAGTTACTATACTATATATTAACTTTTGAATCAATATCAATATAATTATCTTAGCTAGATAGTTCTAAATTAAATTCTTAAATGCAATTTATAGTATAACAATATTTAGCAATAAAAAAGTATGGATCGATAATCACATTTGGATATGAAACTTTTCGGATACATTTATTTGTATATTTTCTGTTTATTCCATTCATCTTAAAGTTTGGATTTAGTTTCTAAAAATAATTAACTTATCTTACATAAATTTCTGTTTCGGATCTTCTTTCACAAACATCACACAATTCAGGACATTCTATACATTAGCCATCTATTTCACTACGAATTGGTTATTAGTAGTAATTTTATGGACATTAAATACAATTAAAAATGTCAGAATTTATAGATAAATCGCATTTCAAACAATCAGAAGTACAATACTTTATACAATCTTATTAATCATTTTATTTGTATCCTTCTTTACATTCAACTTAAAATTATATAACATTCTAATCATTATACGGCCTTTAATAAAAATATTAGTTTGGTAAAAATGTCATCATAAAACTTTATACTCTTTAAACCCAACCATCAACTATTTCTTTATCTCCCTCTATCACTATTTTTGCATCTTCAAATTAATTTGGATAACAACTTCCTAAATTTAAAGTACTAGTAAATCCACTTTAACAAATGATGCATTTTATTGAAGACTGAGGAGTGAAAATACATTACAAACAGTTTGAGATAAACTTATCACAATTAATAATTTCTGGTGCTATACTAAAATCAGTGGATGATAAAGTGCATATCTCTTAATTTTATAAATTAATAAATGACCTTATACAATTAGGTAAAGATGGTTATTTGTATATGCATTCTCCAATATTAAAATCAAAATTAAAATTATCTTCACAAAGTGCACATCCAATAGCTAAATATTCATCTTAATCAAATTTATCAAAATTTGCATACAAAGTGCATTTTGATAGATCATTTTTATTATATTCAAAACAATATTTGCAATTTTAAAGATTACATAATTTACATTCTCCAATAGAATTTCTATAATAAGGAGTTAAGCATTCATTATTTTTGTCAGAATAAGAATTAAATGTACAAATTCCATTAACCAATATCCAAGGCCTTTCACAACTAGTACATTGAAAATCTGTTATACCAATAGAACAAGTAATGCATCCTANACTATACTATATATTAACTTTTGAATCAATATCAATATAATTATCTTAGCTAGATAGTTCTAAATTAAATTCTTAAATGCAATTTATAGTATAACAATATTTAGCAATAAAAAAGTATGGATCGATAATCACATTTGGATATGAAACTTTTCGGATACATTTATTTGTATATTTTCTGTTTATTCCATTCATCTTAAAGTTTGGATTTAGTTTCTAAAAATAATTAACTTATCTTACATAAATTTCTGTTTCGGATCTTCTTTCACAAACATCACACAATTCAGGACATTCTATACATTAGCCATCTATTTCACTACGAATTGGTTATTAGTAGTAATTTTATGGACATTAAATACAATTAAAAATGTCAGAATTTATAGATAAATCGCATTTCAAACAATCAGAAGTACAATACTTTATACAATCTTATTAATCATTTTATTTGTATCCTTCTTTACATTCAACTTAAAATTATATAACATTCTAATCATTATACGGCCTTTAATAAAAATATTAGTTTGGTAAAAATGTCATCATAAAACTTTATACTCTTTAAACCCAACCATCAACTATTTCTTTATCTCCCTCTATCACTATTTTTGCATCTTCAAATTAATTTGGATAACAACTTCCTAAATTTAAAGTACTAGTAAATCCACTTTAACAAATGATGCATTTTATTGAAGACTGAGGAGTGAAAATACATTACAAACAGTTTGAGATAAACTTATCACAATTAATAATTTCTGGTGCTATACTAAAATCAGTGGATGATAAAGTGCATATCTCTTAATTTTATAAATTAATAAATGACCTTATACAATTAGGTAAAGATGGTTATTTGTATATGCATTCTCCAATATTAAAATCAAAATTAAAATTATCTTCACAAAGTGCACATCCAATAGCTAAATATTCATCTTAATCAAATTTATCAAAATTTGCATACAAAGTGCATTTTGATAGATCATTTTTATTATATTCAAAACAATATTTGCAATTTTAAAGATTACATAATTTACATTCTCCAATAGAATTTCTATAATAAGGAGTTAAGCATTCATTATTTTTGTCAGAATAAGAATTAAATGTACAAATTCCATTAACCAATATCCAAGGCCTTTCACAACTAGTACATTGAAAATCTGTTATACCAATAGAACAAGTAATGCATCCTAAAATATTACATTCATAACAAACATTAAAGTCAAATGTTCCATAAAAATAGTTTTTGCTAAGTTAACAAAATTATTTAAATGTTTAAATTAATAAATTAAAGTCTTGATATATACTATCAATATTCTATAAGAATTATTAATTACAATATCTACACATTTAAGATTCTAATCCATCAAATACATAGTATAAGTAATCATCATCAGATATTGTTTTAGCTGTATTTCCATTTGGATTTATGTAAACAGTAGTTTAGCAATATGGATTATATTACCATCCTTTAACATTTTATATACATTCTAAACATGATGTCAATTAATTAGAAATAATAGAAGGACTTTATATTAATAAATATTTACCATGCATAACAAGAATCATCAAATTCAAAATAACCAAATTTACATCCATTTTCTATTTATATTTAATTTATTATAAATTATAAATCACTATATGATTTACAATTCTAATTAATTTAATCATCATAATAATCATATGGACAAATACATGCTTTATATTCTTATAGATATATTCTTGATGATTCTTAAGAGCATGATAAACAATCTCTTTTTGTTGGACCATCACAATCTTAACATGTATAATGACAATTTTGTTGTTCAAATTATTATTAACAATTATAAAAAATTTAATTTCTAGTTTAAATATCAAGATAATTTAAAGGAGATTTTTATAAATTTCCATATAATAATTTAAATTATACATTATGGAACTATTTTACATTAAATTAAGCAGTGTATTCATGAATATCATAAGAATCGTAAAATTTTATAGAAATAAAAATTTATTCATCTACTAATTTTACTTACAAATTATGCCATAAAGTTATTTTATGTAATATTTCAAATTCTTGATTCAAAATAAAGGCATTATCAATATTAGTAAAATCTAAAGTAACAGATGGAAATTTATAACTATATGTACTGATAATAATTTTATAATTATTAGAAGATATCTTATAAGATAACTAAAATGGTGTTAAATTAGGATTAGATAATTGTTCATTTTCAAAATTTGACATTATCTTCAAAAATTAATAAGTAAACTATTCATCATTTTAATGTATTTCTTTTATTTTATACCAACCATAAAATGTAAATGAATTAATGTTTATATTTTATGAGGTAAAAGTCATTGTATCTATCTAAGTTATATCTTGATCTAATAGTTAATATTAAGTATTTTATTTGCAATAGTATTCGGAAATACTATCAAAAAATAATACATAGATTCCTTTTCCCAATATTTAAGGATCTAAATTTGTAACAATTCCCTGACTTACTTTTAATAATTTCATTTGCCCTGGAAAATAAGAAAATTTTGATCCAACTTCTATGGATTCAATATTTGAATTTTGTACAATTAGTCCACTTCCAATAGTTAATATTAGGTTTTTTGTTTTTATTATTTTATCATTCAACAGCTCATGTAATATAAATTAGTCTTCTTTTACGATGATTAATTCAAGCTTTTATGCAGATGGCAAGTAAAGTAATTCAAATAGATACCAAACATTTTCATACCTCAATGGATCAATATTCACTTTATGTATATGTGATAATCCATCTGCAGTATTGTAGGCTATTGTCTTCTCAATAGTTAAACTTTCAGGGTAAAGGCAATCATAAAGTATTAATTCCAAATATCCAGAGGATTCTTATATAAAATTCAGATAATGGAAACAATTGCTATCCGATAATCCAACAATTCCTCCATATGATATTTTATTTAAAGGATTGTATTTAGACCAGATCCCAAAGACTATTCCAAAATTGTTTGTAACTTCCCCGTTTAGTTCCATAATTGTTTCCTTTTTCTAAAAGAAAGAATCTACAGATAGGAGATACTAAGAGTATATTATCTCTAAAATTGAAAGGAAATTCAAAATGTAAAATGTCTTCATCAATATAATAATAATTTTTTATAGTTTAATTAAGATATGAATTCTAAAATATCTATCATATTTATAATTAAAATATTATTAATCTCTAACTGCTGTTTTGTATTATTATTTCTTATAAATTATTTATAAGTTATATATAATGAGTTTCTATTGAAATGGTTGTAAAATTGTAAAAAATTCAATAGAAACATGGATACATAATTACTAATTTACAATATTTAAGCACTTTTATTTGAATAATTAATATTATATAATGAATATTTTTGAAAGTATATTATTAATTTTATTACTATAAATGATGTGAATGATAAAGATCATTTAAAATAAAATAAATTTTGATTATTTGTTTCTAATAGTTATAATTATTTATTAAAAATCATGTAGCCATCTAGCCAAAGCTTAGAAGGATATTAGGAAATTAGAATGAAGTTTTCAAGTTCATGGACATTTATGCTTACATCATTAGGATTTGCTGCAGGTTTTGGAAGTGTTTGGAGATTTCCGTATCGTATAAATTGATTATAAAAATTCAATTAGTTGTATTCAAGAATGGAGGGGGAACTTTTCTAATACCATACTTTATCTTGGTTTTTACTTTGGCTATTCCATTATTTTTTTTAGAAGTAGGTTTGGGATAATGTAAAGGAATTGGAATGGCTCATTTATTAGACTTAGAAAAACCTAAATTAAGAGGATTTGGATATGTTGGAATTGTAATTTGTGCATATATATCAACATATTATGTACAACGTATAATAATTAATAGAATCTAATTATGGCATATTCTTTGAGATATTTGTGGGAGTCATTCAAGTACCCAATTCCATGGTTGGAGAGCATAGTTGAATAAAATAAACCTTTTTCTAGAGATTACTTCTATGATTCTATAGTTTAGATGTCCACTTCAATTACAGATTTAAGTAATTCAAATATAAAATATAATAGATCATATAATTTGGGGTCTTTTTATAGCATATATAGTATCATTGATAATAGTTTACTTTTGTATAAAGTAATTATTTATTGTTACATAATTAGAGAAGGAGTTGAAACTTCAGGAAAAGTGGCAATAGTGACAGCCACATCTCCTTATATTTTATTAGTGATATTATTAATAAGAGGGTTAATGCTTGAAGGTTCTAGTGAAGGAATTTATTATTTATTTAAACCAGACTTTGTTAAATTATTTAATCCATCTGTTTGGGTAGATGCTGCAAATTAAGTCATTTTTCAAATGTCAGTTGGACAAGCTATTCTATGTTTATATGGTAGTTATAGAAAGAAGGATGACAATCTACCTAATTTTTCTTTTGCTATACCTCTGTTAACAGCATTATGTGGTATGTTAGCCGGTTTGGTTGTATTCAGTTACATTGGACATGTTAGTTTTAAATATAATATTTCAATTTCATAATTACCTGTAAATATCAAAAATATAATTAGTTATCTGGTCCTGATCTGGCATTTGTTTTATATCCAGCAATTTTAGCTTAAATGCCTATGCCAAATTTATGGTGTATATTATTTTTTTTAGTATTATTATTGTTGGGGATTGATACTTAATTTGGATTTGTAGATGGTATTGCTGGAACAATTGAAGATATTTATTTAGGAGAGGTGATAATTTTTGGAAATAAATTAACTGTTTAATAAGTTAGATTATGTGTTTGCAGTATTTTAGGAGTGATAGGTTTAATTTATTGTACAGATATTGGATTTTATTTATTGAGTTTTGTAGATACATTTGGAACGAATGTTTCATTTATGTTGGGAGTATTGTTTGAAGTGTTTTATTTTGGATCAAAGGAGAGATTTGAAAAATTGAAAATGGATTTAGAGAAACATGGAAATTATGTTCCTTGGTTAATTGAATTTTCATTAACAAAACTCTGTCATTATACAGTTATTGTATTGCTCATAATATCAATTATTTAATAAATGAAAAGTTCTCTTGATTATTCATTTTATGTTATACTGATTGGATGGTTTATTTCTTTCTCACCATTTATAGCTGCAATTAAGATTTATATAGAGTAATTAATTAATGTATTATTATAGAAATCGAAATAGGATTGATATGAGCAAGACAGATTTGGATATAGAGTTATTGACAAAGCAAGTATAATAATGATTTTAAATATTGATTGTGTTTAACTAATTCATATATTTAAAATTATAATAATAAATTTTCAGATAAGAAAAATGATATTTTTTTATTTAATCTAACATAATATACAAAGGATATAGGAATGAAAAAATAAATTAATTAATAATATTTGTGATCATTTCTTTTTATAATGAGATTCATCTAAAATATTGTTACATACTCCATGAATAGTTTTACTAAGATTATATTGATTAAATAATACCTTTTTGTTTATTAAGTTAATTATGTTGCCTACTTAATATTATCATTTTAATTTTTATTTATTATCAATTTTTGGATATTATACATTTTAATGTAGGAATAGCTATTCTAAGATTTTAATAATGATTAGCTTTTATCAATAATTCTTTCTTGAGATTATTGTGATTTATTTCTGTCATCTTTTCTATTTGATGGAGGATTGTGTATAGAATTATTTTAATGAGAGACATTGTTCTTTAATGGCAGTCCTTTTCCTGGAATATAACTTATATGCTAAGTATTTGCACTTCTACGTTCTCTATTTATAGGTTCTTAGGAGGTATTTTTATTTGGTATTTATTAATCTTAATAAGTTATTAAATTTGATTAATGTTAACGATGATAGATTTGATTACCCATTATATAAGATTTCTTAATTATGTTAGGACTTCCTTCACGTTGTTGAGACAAATTTGATGGTTTCTTTTCAATTTCTTTAGAAGATAAGAAATTTAATTGTAAAGTTGATGCTTTACGATCTTACTAAAATAGTATTACAATTATTGTACTTCAATTTATTATTTTTCTTATTCAAGCTATTCAATCTTCTCTTGTAAATTATCAGTATAAAGTTTCATCTACTATTCTAACTAAAATTATGCCAACTTTGATACCCTAACATGAGAACGAATCTCTGCTTCAGCCTTTTATACAGCCTTTTCTAATTCATCATATTCGAGGCTTTTGTTTTGAGATACTAATTCGAGTAGTATAAAGATGTGAAGTTTGAGTGCATTCAGAATCTCTTATGTACTCTACTCCTTCGTTACAGCTGGTTCCTATCTAAGTGTGCTACAAATCTACATAGCCTTCTAAATACTTACGTCTGTCATCATCTGCAACAATTATTCATTGATACTCATTTGTAATAATTTAATATTAAATATGATATATTTTCAATAGGTTTTTGATATAATAATTTTTAATATCTTACTAATTCAATCTTATATCTTATATAATCTCAACCTTCTCATGTTTCTATAATATCTTATCCATCAAAAATGTTATCATTTAATCTTAAATATCATTAAACCCTCCAATTCATAACTATCTTTAAATATTTCTTAGATAGAATTATTGCTATAAATTTCTTACATTCTAAATGATCTAATGTTTATTCTGACTTCATCTATTAATAAATTCAAATCTTGAAATTCTGTAGGTCTATCCAAAATAAATACTTTCATCACATTTGTATTCGATAATATATAATAAATCATTTAGAAATAAAGATTTATTAAGATATTCAAAATCAAAATAATGAATATCATACAAAATATTATTTACTTAATAAAAATCTAAGAATTATAATAATCATTTATTTGGCTCACATTCCTCTATGCTTAACTAAGCCTTTCTCTTCACAGTACTTGAGGAACGCTTCCACAAAATATATCAAGGGAATATTCTTGCCTTGGAATCTATACAATACTTTAAGTTAAAGAACATTCGTACTATAATAGTAATTGGATAATAAAATCATACTAAATTTACAGAGTATGTTACCTATCATGTACTATTGATAAAATGATATAGAGAATAAATGACAACATTGGAGAGGCAATAAATATTTTTGATAGAACCTGTCAACTTATTTAGAACGAAATCAAACGTTCTTCCATAATCGTATGTTGTTAGAATGGATTAAATTGGAGTGCAGCTATAATGATAGCATATCTAATCAAAACTAAGAAATGGCAATATGAGAAGGCCTTTTATTACATAAAATCTTTAAAAACCTTAGTAAATCCATCACTAATACTAAAAAAATAATTGATTTTATACAACACTAAAATTCATAGTGTGAAAAATTTAAATCAAGAAAATAAAACAAGTCATTAGAATTTAATTGTTCCCTCTAAGTTCTAATAAAGAATAATAGAACAAAGTCAAAAATAATAATATTTGGATGATTCCATATAATCTCGAGAAGAAAGACATTCAACAAATTCTAATTAATGTGATAAGACTCCTGTTTTTAATTCTCCAAAAAATAATAATATTAATAAAAAATTAGTTGTTGTATAATCAGATACAAAAATAATGAAGAAATAGAGTATAACAAAATTAGTAAGACATATAAGAAATTATACATTCTAATTAGATGATACAAATATTAATAATAAGAATGATAATCTTAATATTATTAATTAACAAATAATTACTAATTCTCCTAAATTTAAAGATGAAGAAGAACATATTGTCTTAAGACACAGAAGAAGAAGATATCCACATAGAACTAAAAGTGCAATTAATTATGGTTGATTTATTTATTTAGTGCTTATAATACACTATTATTTAAATTTCTATATGATACTTATAATTATAATATTAGTTTTAAATCATTTCTAAATTAACTAAAAATCTTTGATATATTAATAGTAAATAACATTATCTATAAATATACAAACTACCTATATATTTTAATTATAATTAATATAGTTATGTTAATAACATTATGAGTTGTAAGTACTCTTTTATCCTTTTACACAAAGAACTTCAAATGTTTTCACTTTTAAGTAAGTATTATTCATTTTTAATATCTTCTTATTTATGTAATTGACTTTTTTTCATAGCTATTCATTTTTTTATGTTATCTATTTTCTTATTCTTCCATAAATTAAATTAATTAAATGAGGCCTTTTCATGTCAGAGGTACAGACAGAGCTATAATGACTGTAAAAATCAATTATGATGGAGATTTATTCTTTACTGCCTCATAGGATGGTGGTATTAATTGTTGGTTGACAGAGACTGGTGAAAGGTATTTAATTGAAGAGATTATAAATTAGATTAGGAAATTATAAAGCAAGTGGTGCAGTTAAGACATTAGATTTAACAGATAACAGTGAATTATTAGTGAGTGGTTCTTTGGAAGTAAAAATTACAATCAATTCAAAAGGGTTCTGTTGATTTCTTTTAGATCAATGGAGGAAAAAGTCTTGGTAAATTAACAGCTGATATGAGAAAGGCCAAATGGGTAGAGTTCTCTTTTGGAGATGAAAATTTAATTATTGTAATCAAATTTAATGCATAATGTATAGGTATATTAACCAATGACATCAACAATTAATTATGAGACAAGAATTCTCAAAGTGCAAGAAATCTTAGATAAGATTAAATTAAGATAAACATAAGATGTATTAGAAATAACTGACACTCTTGTGACTCCAGATAAATTTAAGACTACTCAAGCAAGTTGGGGATATTTGAATCAATCTATAATAATGGCATCAACTGAGGGAGAACTCTTATTATTATCTTATCCATAAAGTATCTTTTGTATAAATAATTAATAGAGGAGGAAATAAGAAGAGTATAAGTACATGATGGAGAAATTAAGTAATTTGCATTTGCTAAAGATTTTTCAATTTTGGCTACTGCTGCTAATGATGGATGCAAAATCTTTGATCCAGCTACATTATAATTATTGAGGTACTTCAAATATGAAGTTCCTATGAATGCTGTTGCAATTTCACCATTATTCAATACTGAACAAAAACCAAAACCTCATTTAATAGTAGCTGGTGGTATTCCAGCAAGAGAAACAGCTAGAACTAAATTTTAAGGATTTGATATACATATTTGTAATGTCATTTATGAAGAGGAAGTAGGAAAATTATTAAGTATAATAAACTCTTTATATGTAAAGATCCTAATTAAATTGGACCTATAAATGCTTTAGCATTCTTCCCTGATGGAAAAGGATTTATTACAGGAGAAGAAGGTGGTTATTCTAGAGTCTATAAATTTGATTAAACTTATTGGGAAAATGATTTATTCAAATGAATTTTAGATTTGTATATTTATGTATAAAAAGAATTTATTTATTCTAAAATTATCTTTTTTTAAGAATGTATGCATAAATTGCATTTTTATCAATTAAATTTAATGTAACCATCCAATAAAAGCTTAGAAGAGTATTAAGAAGAAAGAATGAAATTTACAAACTCTTGGACTTTCATGATGACTGCTCTAGGTTTTGCTGCAGGATTCGGAAGTGTATGGAGATTTCCTTATTGTATGATAATAAACACTATATAGTGGTTTTTAAGAATGGAGGAGGAACATTTCTAATTCCTTACTTTCTTCTTGTATTCACATTAGCCATTCCATTATTCTTTCTTGAAGTTGGACTTGGATAAACAAAAGGCATGGGATTTGCACATCTAATTGCCTCAGAAAAACCAAAATTAGCAGGTTTTGGATTTATTGGCATCATAATAGCCTCTTATGTTTCTACATATTATGTATTTCTCATTTAATCATAGAATTTAATCATGGCTTATTCATTTAGATTTTTATGGGATTCATTCAAATATCCTTTGCCTTGGTTAGAAAGTATAATAAATGAGGAATAACCTTTTTCTAAGAACTATTTTTATGGTGATATTCTTCACATATCAGATTCAATCACAAACATAAGTATTAATTTTTAATATTTAATAATAGATGAAATAGTATGGAGTTTACTTATTGCGTATATAGTTTCATTAACAATTGTCTATTTTATTATTAAGTATTTACTATTGTATATTATTAACTAGAGAAGGAGTTGGTACTTCAGGAAAAATAGCAATAGTGACAGCCACATCTCCTTATATTTTATTAGTGATATTATTAATAAGAGGTTTAATGCTTGAAGGTTCTAGTGAAGGAATTTATTATTTATTTAAACCAGACTTTGTTAAATTATTTAATCCATCTGTTTGGGTAGATGCTGCAAATTAAGTCATTTTTCAAATGAATGTTGGTTTGGCAATTCTATGTTTATATGGTAGTTATAGAAAGAAGGATGACAATCTACCTAATTTCTCTTATGCTATTCCTATAATTACTGCATTATGTGGTATGCTTGCAGGATTAGTTGTTTTTAGTTATATTGGACATGTTAGTTTTAAATTCAACATTCCTATAGATGAATTACCTGTAAATATCAAAAATATAATTAGTTATCTGGTCCTGATTTGGCATTTGTCTTATATCCAGCAATTTTAGCTTAAATGCCTATGCCAAATTTATGGTGTATTTTATTCTTTTGTGTTTTGGTTTTATTGGGAGTTGATACTTAATTTGGATTTGTAGATTTGATTGCTGGAACAATTGAGGATGCTTGTTTAGGTGAGGTGTTTTTATTTGGATATAAGTTGACAGTTCAATAAGTGAGATTAGGAATTTGTATTGTATTAGGAATTTTAGGATCAATTTATTGTACTGATATTGGATTTTATCTACTTGAATTTGTAGATTTATATGGAACTACAATATCTTTTATGGGAGGATTATTATTTGAAGTTTTTTATTTTGGAAATTAACAAAGATTTAATTAATTCAAAAAGGATTTAGAATAATGTAATATTTAGATCCCAAAATTTATTGAATTCTCTATTACTAAACTCTGTCATTACACAGTTGTAATTCTATTAATAATATCTGTGATTTAATAAATTAAAGGATCTTTGAGTTATAATGGATTTTTTATTGTTGTTGGATGGTTTATATCTTTTTTACCATTTTTATGGGCTCTATTAATATATTTATAGTAAATGTTTTATTTATTCATAATTTTAGGAAAAGAAATGAAAAAGAAGAAAAGACTGAAGATGTTGAACTAAACTTACTAGAAAAAAATTGATATTTTTGTTAATTGTTTAAGTAATAAAGAAAAGAAATACAATCAACTCCATCTGAGATTATAATTTTCTCCTCTTCTCTCTTTTTCATATTTTTCTGCTTCTTCTAAATTTTTCTTTTTAAACTCATATTCAATCTAAGCAGCATGATTCATTCCTCTTTTTTCCTAATTTTATAATCTTTTTTCTGCAGCTTAAGCTATTAAATCCTATTTCTAATTAGTTTCTTTACATTTTAATTTGCATTTTGAGTTTGATCTTAATCTCCCCCAATCTATATTCCTTTTCCTTTCATTTTAGTTTAACCTTCTAATTATTATAGCTTATTTTACTATTAGATTTCTTCTAATAAGGATCATTAACTTGTTCTTTAGATCCACAAGCACATCCCATATTTTAAAATAATAAAAATAATAAATGTATAATATTCTTATAAAATATCATCATCTTTTCTTTTGTAAACTTTTCATATACCTTATAAATGGTTATTTTCTAATTGTGCCGTTTCCTTCAGGATCACAAGCCTAAATTATACTTTATAATTGTTCATCTTTTAAATTTTCATTGCATTCTGATGCCATCTCTCTTAGATCATCTACTGTTATATAACCTATAATATTTGGTTATTAAGTACCTTTATAATCTAAATCAAATTGATAAAAAACATTTTCAAAATCTTCATCAGTATCTTTTTCTCCTGGATGCATGGACATCATTCTTACAAATTCTCTAAATTCAATTATACCGCTTTAATCTTAATCAAAGTCAGAAATCATTTGATAAATAATTTACTTTTTTGGTTAATATTTACCAGCACTTGCAAATGCTTTTCTCAAATCCATAGGTTAAATAACTCCATTGTTATTTGAATCCAAAAAATCAAATATTTCCTTATATAAAATGATATCTCTTTTAGTTGTTGTTCCTGTTATATAATCATTTGGATCGAATTTAGGTTCAGGTGGGATAAATGTTGAATATGATTGATTTGGACTCAATTATTATGGAGGAGGAGCCAATTGTTGTGGGTTTACTTTACTCTAAGGTAATGTAGGTACTGATGTTGTATTTTTCTTTCGATTCATATTATTATATTATTTATATATTATGTATATTGATAATTTAATTATTTTCTAATTAAATTTAAAATTGAAGTATGCAATAAGAGTATTTTGTCAATTATTTATGATATAAACTTATAATTACATGATTAATTATTCATTATTCTTCTATTTAATCTTATTTTAGAGCAAGTATCAATTTAGATTCATCACCAAGATCGAAATCTTTCAAACTGAAATCACATTTATTTTATCTGCCCATTTCAGATGTAATACTCTTTGTAGAAGTAATAAATTTCATAAATTTGTTCTGTCTCTCCTTTCTTAATATAGGCTCTTTAGATTCTTCTATTTATTTAATTAGTTCATATTTCAAAAAACGAGACTCTTTATTAATATTTATAGATTACGCTCTTTTTATCTTAATTCATTAAGGTTATACTTTTGATATTCAATCTGTTTTTTGATTCATCAATAAAACTACATAATTATTATATTGATTACTCTATCACTGATCTAACCAATACTTCGGAACTAAAGGCTCTATTTAGTTTGATTGGACAATCACATATGAGTATATCATTAAATTCTTCATCGTTCAACTATGATAAACTAATAAAATTCTTAAACTTTATTTACCACTCTCTAAATCCGTTATAATATTGGAATAAATCTTTTTCTGACTCAATATAATTATATATAATACTTCAAAAACTTTAACTCGATAATATGTTATACACTTGAAAATACTCAATTCTAAATTTTGAATATAGACCTATTCATACCCAACTAAAGGATTAGAATAATTAATACTTCCACTAATATTATCGTAAATCTATTGAATAATATTGTGCTATAACGGAATTTTGTCAGGATTTGTATATAAACAAACTTTATGAATAAACTAGAAACGTACTAACACTTTCTCCAGATTCTTTCTAGATGTCACCCAATTTAACCGTTATCTTCACATTCATATATTCTCTAAAAATAACTAATTCATTATTCATAACATGATTCTCTTTCTCTCTAGAAAGACAACAAATTCCTTCTTGATTCCCCATCTACAATTAAATAAATAATTATTATTTCAAGCAAAATAAAACAAAATTTTGATCATTTTAAAAGATTAATCATTTATTTAAAATGAATTCTTTATCCCCATCAAATGTTTAATTTTATTGATCTAAGATTTCATTCTCAATTGATTAGAAAGTTATCTATCATCCAATACTTGTCTAATTAATTATTAATATACTTATCATTAAACCATTAATTTAATAAGATATCTCAATATTATTCATAAATGTACCTTCAGCATAAAATTCATTAATTAAATTATGTTTCAGTAATCTATTTATCAAGTTTATATATTATTTATTTTCTGAAATTCTTCTGTATATTGAAATGAAAGATTTTTTGAAGTAATTAACTTTTTTTTATTATTTACACTATCAGCAAAAAGTGAAGTTTGATAACATAATAATTAGTATATAAAATTACTCCAATAGACCAGATATTAATATTATTATTATACCATAACAACCCTTTTCATTATATTAAATACTTAAAAATACTTAAGGCACTTAATAAACAATGGTTCCATTTTCAATTCTCATATCTTTAAAAGTATTATTAATTTTGTTTAAAAAATTAGACTAGTGAATATGTATAAATTTGTATATAAATTCACTATTATTTTTATAAATAAATATATATATAAATAATATTCTTATAATATCTTTGTCTTTCAATCTTTTTCTAATTCCAATTTTAATCAAATTAAATTATATTTCTGGATTCAAATATATTCATATGTTTTCAGATTTTAAATATATTACTTTCAAAAGTATTTAAGTCATTATTTAAATTATTTATTTAATAGTTACTTATTTATGTTTTATTGATAATAATATACTTAATTCATACTAAGGAATATCATAAAATTATACCTTTATTGTATTATCAAAAATGTTTTAATTGATTTATTATTTATTCTTTTTGAATAGAAATAAATATATAAAAATTAAATAAATAAATTATGAATAGGATTGCTAATGGTGTGATAGGACTTGCTCTTAAGAATCAGGTTTATTTCAGTACAGCTAAGAAAGCCAAGATGGAGTTGACCATTAGAACTCCATATAAAACAATATTAGATAAATTTGATGGTTTTTCAAGAATAGTGGCTAAAACAAATGAAGTAATAGTGTATTGTAATAAATTCACAAGGCAGCTCTCATTATTCAAAATAGAACTCCTGCAGCAGTATATATATTACCACCAGGACCTTTGAAGATTAAATTTACTTAAGATGTTAAAGGAGTCACTGGTGATTTTTTGCATTTGGGTGGCTATGTATTTGTGAATCCGTAATTAATTTATATCTAAATTAGTGACAATACTTGTGAAATCAATTTAATGGATTTAGTTGATAGAAAAGAAGCAAAAGTTGATTAATTTGATAAGGCTGATGTTAAAGATGCTGATACAGTTGCTGGAAGATATGCAGGTAAGATTAGAAGAGCAGCATAACGTACATTTATTAAAAAAGCAACAGCATGATATTATTACATAAAATAAAAATATATATTTACAAGATGTTTCAAATCAAAGGAATATTAATTATTTAATAGCTTATTAATTTAGGTTTATTAAATAATTAATATAACTAAAAACTTCATTCTATTTAAAGATTTACTATCATATTTCAGAATAATTAATCTTTTAAAAAAGGAGTATTAGAATCATAAAAATCTTTTTATAATTTAAATAACAAACTAAATTTACATAATATATATTAATTAATCCTTGTTCATATATAAGTAATATGAAATTCTAACATTAATAATGATTTTAGTTAAGAGATATAAATTCATCCTAACTAGTAAATTATAAATATATATCATTTTAATTTAGAAGTATCATTTACAAAAGTATGTTATTTTAATTATTTTGAAATATTTGATTTTATATAAATTTATTATAATAATTTTTGATAACCATGAAAACAACAATCTTATTATTGCTGTATATTATTAATTAGGCATATTGCCAATAAAATGATGAAATCTTAGGATATATGTATGTGTTTGCTTAAGAATGGCCAGGATCTATTTGCAAATTTTAAAAGTGTACAAAAACATATATGGGAAATTATGATAATGCTAGATGGAATACACATGGATTATGGCCAAATACAATGTTACAAACTAGTTGTGGGATGATATTCAATTGCAAAGATGAAGAATATGATGAAGATAAATTAACAATTGCTACTAAGACATTAATTGATGTTACTTGGAATGGTATGTATTCAGATACATTCACATTCAGAAAGTATTTGATTGTAATTATTATGTAGACATGAATGGGAGAAACATGGAACTTGTCATCCAGATAATCTCTCATAAAATGGTTATATGTCAAGAGTTGGAAATCTTAATAATCAATATAATTATTATAAAATATTAGCATCAGCTGGAATCTATCCAGATGATGATAGATAATTAACAGATGGTGAAGTTAGAGCAGCATTTACTAAAGTATTAGGAATATCAACAGCAATGTCATATACATGTTAAAAAGATTGTAAATATTATTATTTATTAATTAAGCATCAACTGGTAAATTTTATATTGCTGAATTAAGAACNTGCATAACGTACATTTATTAAAAAAGCAACAGCATGATATTATTATACATAAAAATAAATAAATACATTAACAAAATGGTCTAAATGAAAGGGATGTTAATTATTTAGAAGCTTATTAATAAAAATGTTTTTGTTTATTAAATAATTAATACTATGCATTAACATCCCAATATTTGTCCAACACAATCTTTCTATTAAGAGAAGTGCATGCAAAATAGAAAAAGATTATTAGAGCAATTTAAAAGCACAAATTTTAACAAATAATATCCTTGTATACAAGAAAATTAAGAATAATCTATTCATCAAATTGAGCCTTCTTAACTTTAATCTGTTTAAGATAATATATAAGATAATAATGATAATTGTGAAATTAAAGAATCAGAAAAATAACAATTGATAGAAAATAATCAATCTAATTAAAAAAAGATCCTCATGTAATTTAAATTCAAAACTAAGTTGTCTTAATAAATAAAATCTAATGAACTATCAAATTTATTGGTTTAATAATCAACAGAAGATAATGATAAATAAATAACCAATAAAAATTAAAATACTGTTGAAACTTAAACTGATTTAATATGTAATGAAAATTAAGAAAAATAAAAAAATAAACCTAAAGTTATTGATGATCATTGTTAGACTACAGAAGATATTCCAATTTAAACATTAATTATCTAATAAATGAAGGAAGATGCATTAAAACCAAATAAATAATGGTATTCAATAAATTTAAATTCATCAATTCATCCTAAATTATAAATGACTGAAAAATTTATGTCAGATAATAAAGTAGCAATTGATTATTTTGATTGTCTTAAGAATAAATTAGATGAAAATTGAATAAAATTAATTTATGTATTATAATAATAATGTTCAAAATCAATCAATAATTATCCTTTTATATTGAGTACTGAATATATATATAAAATTTATTATATATGAATTCATATAGATTAATCATTTATTATAATAATAAATAATAATTGATAAATATGAAAATAACAATCATACTTTTGTTATATATTGTTAGTTTAACATATTGTCAATAAAATGATGAAATATTAGGATTTATGTATGTGTTTGCTTAAGAATGGCCAGGATCTATATGTAAATTTGTGAATTGTACAAAAACTTATATGGGAAATTATGATAATGCTAGATGGAATACACATGGATTATGGCCAAATACAATGTTAGAAACTACTTGTGGAATGATATTCAATTGCAAAGATGAAGAATATGATGAAGATAAATTAACTATTGCTACAAAGACATTAATTGATGTTACTTGGAATGGTATGTATGCAGATACATTTACATTTAGAAAGTAATTAATTATAATTATTATATAGACATGAATGGGAAAAACATGGAACATGTCATCCAGATAATCTCACATAAAATGGATATATGTCAAGAGTTGGAAATCTTAATAATCAATATAATTATTATAAAATATTAGCATCAGCAGGAATTTATCCAGATGATAATAGATAATTAACAGATAGTGAAGTAAGAGCAGCATTTACAAAAGTATTAGGAATATCAACAGCAATGACATATACATGTTAAAAAGATCGTATATATTATTATTTATTAATTAAGCAACTACTGGTAAATTTTATATTGCTGAATTAAGAACTTGTTTTACTTAAGCTATGAAACCTAGAACATGTGATTGTAGTAAACCTATTAGTGCATTTGTAACATGTGGAAAGACATTCTATTATCCAACTTTTCTTTTATCTGTTAATGAATAAATAGAATATGAAGAGATACCTGATTTAAGTAATAGTTTCTTAGAGTGAGATTTATATATATATTGAATTTTATATAATTATAAAATATATATATATAATTAAAAACGAATTTAGATGATCTTTTGGAATAGATTAATGTCATTATTGCCAACTTTTATATTGTTTGGTGTGCTATTATTTACATACAGCATTTATTACTTTGTAAATAATTCTATTTAATATAGACCAATCTAAAACCCAATTTTAATGGATTTACTTATGAGATCATTATAATGCATTTGATTATCTTATTATTCCTTGTTTCTATATTTAGAGCTATGTTTTTATAACCTGGAGTAATTTCAACGGTTTTTTATTTTTTTACTTTATTTTAGGAAATAATTGATGAAACTTGGAAGTAATGGGAAATATTTTAATAATAAGAAAAAGAAAGATTAACAGAATAAAAATAAAGAAGAAGTTAAAAATCTGTAAAAACATTCAAAACAGAAAATGATGAAGATAGAAGTGTTGTTAATCTTGATGCAGAAGAAATTATAGAAGAAGAAGATAATATTACTAAAGATCTAAATCAAAAAGGTGTTTAAAAAAGATTTTGTAAAAAATGTTGTATTCCTAAACCTCCAAGAGCACATCATTGTTCATAATGTAATACTTGTTGGTTAAGAATGGATCATCATTGTCAATGGATTAATAATTGTGTTGCCAAAGATAATTATAAAATGTTTTTCTGCATGATCTTTTATGCAAGTAAGATTAAATTCATTTAGAAGTAGAGGCTGTCTTTTAATTTGGGTCACTATTTCCTAATATAAAGTATTTGAAAATGTAATTGAATATGATGTTTCCGATTTAGAACTCTATATTATAGTTCTTCACTTTTATTTTGTATTCCTCCTTGCTGTCTTGATATCAGGTTTCTTTATATTTCACATTTATCTAACAATATAAAATAAAACAACACTTGAATAACTTGAAGATAAACCAGATGTAAATAATAATTATCTTATTATTATTAGAAAAGAAAATATGATCAAGGAATCTGGTTCAATTGTTAAAGTGCCTTGGGATCAAATATTTTAGTATGGTTGTTACCAATTTGATGATTTATTCACAGTATTCATATTAAATCAATGAAATTACAATTAATATTATTGATTAATTTAGATTTGAAAATTTTAAATTTTATTACAAATTTCTTATGTTCTTATCTAATATCTAATATTATTATAATAAAATTTAAATAATAGTTTAGTGATATAAAATGAAAGACAAGTATAAACATTATTAAATACATAAATAATATTCATACTTATACAAAATCTTAAGCATTGTAATATTGTAACATGTCAATTTGAAATAATAATAGTTATTTATATGAGATTTACATAAATTCTTCCCACCATTTTTAAGAACAAAATTCTTCTTTTAATTTCAACAATTTCTATTTATCTACTGCATGCATTCTAAAAAATTAAATTCCCAAATATATTGAACCTTTTACGCAATCTACTTAAGTCTAAAAATTATTAAATATCATTACCATATCAGTCTAAAAATCAACAAAGAATGTATCCTAAAATATATCAAATATCATCTATCTTAATCCTTATTCAAATTAAAAGATCTAAAAAAAAAGTAGACTCTTTAATATATTACCTTTAAATAGTTCAATAATAATTAATAGCTATCTAATGTCTCATTTTTTAAATCATAATTTATTATTCTTAAAATATGCTATTCTGCTTCTAATACTTCTCTTTTCCATTCTGCATATTATTCATTATTAAATAATGGTACAAATTTATCAAAAAATTCAATATTGTAATTCTCATATTATTCTATGCCTAAATATTTAATAGGATCTTCATCATAATCAACCTAATTATTAGCTTATAATTTCTATTTTCTCTCTTAATTTGCCAATGTATACATTTTATTAACAACACAAATTACTTACTTTTTAATATGAATTACTTACTAACTAATATATCTCTAATTCTTTTCATATCTTCAACTATCTTACTTACTAAATAGAAACATGCTGTAATCACCATTTCTTTTTTAAATTGTCTTTTGTTACTTAATGTGAATCTAATCATTATTATTAATATTAATCTTATACCTTTTATAAATAGTAATCACATGACTGATTGTTGGAGTTGATAAATTAAGTATAACTCCAATCTCTTATATCAGTCTTAAAAATTCATATCCTTTCATTATTAATTTATTTTATATTATATATCAAATCAAATAAAAGTATTTAATTAATTCTTTAATTCATTTAATTCTTCATTCTCATACTCTAATATCCATGACATCTTTTAAAGTTATTTATTAAATTATTTAGCAACATTAAATATCATATGTTTTATTACTGGTAAGGGATACTCCTCAATAATCCATTCTTTTATTTATTTTCTTTATGCATATTCTTCAAAACTATCCCTTAAAGCATTTATTGCATATTCTAAATAAATATCAACTATATCTTATCCAATTAATAATCTTTAAAGAATCATAATTAGATTTCTTAAATCTATTTTATATCTTCTTCTTCTTCTCTTTTCTAATGAAAGATTTTAATCGAAAATAATCTGTTTATTAAAAAGTTTAGTTAAACTATCATTTTGAGAATCTATCAAATAAATATTTAATTAGTTTTCCTCCCATTTTAAATCAATAATTAAGTAATGTATTGTTATTCCACAAATTAAAGTTAAATTAGATATCTATTATTATCTTAATTTGTTAAATTATTCCTAGATGATAGATAACTCTTCTATTGAATTTTAAATTATATCACAACCATAAAATAATTGTATTATTTCTTTTTGTCTTTTATTTCCAAAATCTTAATATACTTAGAGTTATTATACAATCTTATTATTCAATATGTAATCAAGATGATAACGTTATAATTCATCAAAATTTTCAAAATCCCCTTCAAAGGTTTGGTTTAATAATTTAATTAATTCAAAGTAGAATTTCCAAAATAGGGCAATATTGTGATTGATTTCAAAATATGTATTATAAAGTGCATAAAATCCACATATATTAGGTAAGTATTATTCCAATGAAATAAGTCTTTTTACTTTATAGATTTCTTCTGCAATATTTTTAGTTTCTGCAAAGTTAGATGAAAATATTTGATCAATAATTTCATTTAAAATTTCTTATTCTTCTAAAGCATATTTATTCATATTTTTAATTAAATATAAAAAAATAGAATGTTTTCTTTTATAATAGATATATATTATTAAATACTATTTGAAGAATAGGATTGATATTACAAATAATTTAGATTTAATGACAATAATATATATATATAACAGTCTAATATTTAAAAATATAAAAATTATTTGAATTAATATAAATAGTTGAATAAATTAAGAAGAGATGGATACAAAGAAATTAAGTAAAATAATAGAGCTAATTTTCTTATCAATTGCTGTAAGAATTCATGAATAATATTTTGAAAGTGGTTATCAGTACTAGCATGTTTGATTAGAACAGATTTTAATTTTCCTTTTGCTTTCTTTTGTTATTATTTATGGATATCAAGAGATGATAAAGCCAATTCTTTAATGGTAATAATTTAATTAATATTTTCTTAGTTAATGGTATTAAATGGTATCTTAATTTTGGTTGATTTAATATGGTTATTGTCAGTTGGATCAATTTGGACTGCTACAGAAAAAAATAATCCTGTTTGGGGTAAATTACATGGTCTACATGTTTTTGTAATCTTCATTAGTATTGTAAATGCCTTATTAAAAGTAAAATAATTGAATTTATCATAAGGTTGGAGCAATTGTAGCAATAAATTCTTATAGAGGAAATTAACAACAAGTTGGTAAATGATATATTATTATATTAGCTGGTCCAATTGGAAGTTAGAATCCATAATAAAGTGGATTTAATGATATGTCTTAAAATAGATAATAACCATTTGCATAATTTTGATGAAATGAAATATTCAAAATTATATTATCAACTTTAAATAATAATTATATAAATAAATTTAACAGTAAAATTATATGTCAATGTCATAACAAAGATATCAAACTCTTATGGGTTCTGATGATATTTCACAAATATGTAGTGGATTCATTAGATTTATTGAAGAAGTAATTCTCTTTTAAATTATTAATATAGATATTATTACCTATTGCTAAATAAGATACAAAATAATTTTAAAATTGGACAAAGTTCAAAGAGATAATTGATCCATTTAATAAAAAAATTGAATTATAAAGAGTTGAGTAATATTTCTAATAATTTAATAATTCTAAGATTAATTAAGAAAATAAACCACCTTCACCAATACTTAAAGAATAAACTAAAAATACTGTAAATATTCAAGATAGAAGTTATTCAATACCATAAACAACAATCATTTAAACTATAAAAGAGGATTACGAAAATTAACTTAAGGAAATTACAGATAAAATTAATAAAACATTTCATTAAAATAATACTCATTTAGATATTCTTCTTAAAATGAATAATACAACATAAGATGCTAAGAATAAATTAGAACTAAATAATAATAATCAAAGAAACACTTCAATCACCAGAAGAGTAGATTTTAAAAGAAGAAATACAGATTACTATTCATTTAAACCTATTAATAATATATAATGAATAAATATTTACATATAACTAAAAATATTTAAACATATACTAATCAAAACTCATCTTCTGGATTCTCTCCATCATCAAATCCTTCATCTTCTTATTATCTTTATTAAGATTATTATTATATTATTTATTTATTAGGAAATTAAAATAATTTTTGTTATTCTGGTTATTATTATTATTATTATTATTATTATTATTATTATTATTATTAATATTTTGATGTATTTAATTCATCAACATCAACCTTCTTTTTATTTGCATAAAATATCTAATCATGTATTAATGTCACTATCTTTTCATTATCTAATAATGTTTGAATTAATTTATCTCTATCTTCCTTCTCCAAATTATCTTATTTATCTATATTATTTAATAAATAATTTACTTTTATTATTTTTATTAAATATTCTAGCTTCTCCTTTTATTTATATAATTTCTTCCTTAATATCATCTATACATTTTCTTAATATTACTTCTAATTCTGATTTACTTTACATTTCTTTAATATATAATTATTTTAATTCTCTCACTCTCTTTTATTCCTTTTTTAATGTTGATTACAAAGATTTTATTGTTTTCTCATACCTTTATAATGTTTATTAAATTGATTATGATCCTTATAATTATTATTGAATTTAAGATGGATTTTTTGATAATTATTCATCTTTATTTTATTTATTTTATGATTATGATTAGGCTGAATTCTTTACAGACCTAATTCTCACTTTAGCTTTACTTCCAGGTCTTACTATATCTTAATACGATGGTTAATCAAATGATTGATCATCTTATTCTACTTCATCCTTTTATACTTCATTTAACAATTTCTCATATTATTATATTTATGATTTAAGAATCGCATTTTTTTTCTTTTTCATTATTAACTCTTTTAAAAGCATTTCTCTATCATTCTCTTATGTCTAATACTATATTTTTAATTCTTTATATTTTTACATTAGAGAATGATTTTCATTATCTATTTTTTAAGCTATATTTTTAATCCATTCTAATTCACTAATCAATTAATTTTCTTTCTCAATATATTCTTAATCATTTTTACCTTTCTTAATTCTTTCCTCTTCAAATTATTTCTTTATTTCATTAATTTTATTATTAAAAAATCGAATAATATCTCTCTCTTAATCCACTAATATTTTTGATGTTCTTAATTAAATATTATTGATTCCCTCAATAATCTTATTATGATCCTTATATATATTCTCCATTATTTTTCGATCTCCTTAATCTAAAGCTGTTTTAGCTCTTAATTCAGATTATAATTCTTCTATTGTTTTTCTATATTCAATTTCTCTATTAACAAATCTTTCTTATCTATTTTTTAGTTCCAATTCCAATTAATTTGTTCTCATTTTTTCTTTTTCCAATATTGCTTACAATTCTTAACATTTCAATATCCAATCTTATGCTGTCATTTCATTTTTTGTTATAACAGTACTCTATTAGATTTGCTTTTTCTTATTTTTTGGATCATTAGGATCACCTTTCTTACCTTATAGATCTATTTACATTTTCGTCGGTTTTAAGATTGCCTCAGGATTAATAACTAAAATTAAATTCAAACTCACATTTAGTTAAATCAGGAGTTGTAGATGCTAATCTATCTGCAATTTCTTGCATCTTTTACATGCTCTTTGTATTTTTTATAAATTATTAGTCATCCTATATTTTCTACATTTATTTTATTGTTATATTATATAATTAAAAAATAATAATCCTTATAAATAATTAATAATAAAAATATACTTAACACATAAATATGTATTTTACAATCTTTAAAGTAACAATTAAATTTTAAATGAACTAGTTCAATTTTTAAAAATATTTTTACAACTGACAAAAAATTTATGGTAATATAAAAATATTTTTGAATACAATTATCAAATAAAATTTAATGTTTAAATTATAATTTTTTACTAAAAGCTACTCACTCTTTAATCCTAATATTAATAGTATGTAGAGATGATTAAGTAATATTTCATTTATTTAACATTTGTTGTTGAATTACCTTTTAAAATTCTAAGATCTCTTTAAAATATGATAATAAATATTCATAACATGATTTTGGATTGAAAAATGATTTATTATTTATTTTTATTAAATTTTAAATGGATATCTTTTAATATATCTATAAAATAATGGTATAATATTCTGATATTTCAATCATATTATTGATTCTAAAAGTTTTATTATTTATTTTAAATAATGAGAAGTAATTTTGAATAATTTTTACAATCAATATTTTTGATATAATCAAAAATTTAATATGATTATATTTAGTTTAATTATGATATTAATCCATTAGTATATTAATAAATAATATTCAATAAAGCAATTTATATTATTTTTATAAAAATAATGCTTTTGCAGAAAAGATTTATCCAACAAGATTGAAGATTTATATTTTAATTTGAATCAAAAGTTAAAAATATTATGAGGGTGTATTAGAATCATCTGCAATATAATATATTTACCTAGTCTATTTATTATAATTATTAAAATTTTGAATTTTAAATATGAAGTTTTGGAAGATCTTTTTTTTGTTAAGAATATAATTAAATTATCATATAATTAAATGAGTTATAGAAACAATAGATTATATTTGAAAGCATAAATTTTCATAAATCACATAAAATTCTTGATATTTTTAAATTATTTTCAATATCTAGTATGATTATGGCTTCTTTAAACACAGATCTATTTACATTTTATTTTTTCAGCATATTTTTAGGATAAAAAATCATAGATTTATTAATATTTGTCTATTAACAGGATCTAGTAAAATGCTTAGCTTATGAAATTTTGATACAAGGTAAAAGAGAAGAACATTATTCCCTTAAATTTTATTAAAAATTAGACTTTCTTTTTTTTAAACCTATCATATGATAGTTATTTCTAATTAAAAGGTGTGGAAACTTTGTTTTTGTTTAATTGATGTTTTTGGATTAAAATATATCTTCAAAAAATACTTATTTTTTCAGATTTTATCTTTTGAAGCAATTATTTTTATTATGTAACTTTTGGAGATAGATTTTATCGTTGTCACTTTACCATTAGTTTAATGAATTTTAAATACCATTATCATAATTGCAATGTTAACAAAATTATGATTGATTGAAATGACTATTAGGAATAGAATCTTTTTTATTTTGATTTAGTTTAATGATAGGCACATCATTCTTTACTTAAAAAATAAGCATCAAGGTTATTTTATTTTATTTTCAATATTTCTTATAGGAATATCTTTAATACGTATTAATAATTTTATTATTTTACACATAAATATATAGTTCAGTTTAATTCAAATTCTAATGTGTAAATAAATTGATTTGTTTATATTAATTGACGTCATTGATTATTCAAAATATTAAAAATTTGGATTTGTGATGTTTATGGATTTAGCCATCAATAAAATGATTTAATCGAAGTAATTGCTCTTAGAGAATTTAATAATAATTTTTCTATTAGTTTAAAATTGGCTATTAAGGAGAAATATAGATTGGTTATAATAATTGAAATCTTCTTATTTTTTAAGATATTA